AATAGGGCCTGGTGGGAGGTGCAGGCCGCCGCGCCCGTAACCAGTTTAAGAGCACGATATTGAATCGTTTCAAGCCGGTTAAGAACCGGTTGGGAGGCGCTGTGGTATGCTTCACACCCATAGTCTATTTTGCTTCTGATGAGGGACTTATAGAAGGTCAGGGGCGTTTCGCTGTTAGCTCCCCAAGAGCTGCCGGATGCAGCTCTTATTGCATTGAGGTCTTTCTGACACCTATGGGCTATGCTGTCTATGTGTTTTGCCCATGTGAGGTGTTGGTCGAAAGTAACCCGAGGAACTTTGCTGATTTCTCAAATTTGACCGTTTTGCCCTTCAGTTTGAGACTAGGTGTGTTGCATATTCTGCTACCCTTCCGCTTGAATACCACTCCGATTGTTTTCTCAGGTGAGATGGTAAATCCCCATTTATCGCACCATTTTTCCACACCGTCAAGGGTTTTCTGGATCAGAGCCTGGATCTTGAGAACCTCTCGATGTCTGACCCAAACAGCCCCATTGTCAGCGAACTTAGAGGTGTTGTTATGTTATCGTCCTTTCGGACATGTTCAAATAGGTCGTCAGTCATGATGTTGAAGAGTGTCGGACTGATAATGCTTCCTTGCGGCGTGCCATTATCTAACCTGTGTCGATCAGACAGGTGGTCTCCAACTAAGACTGATATTGACCTTTCTTGCAGAAAACTTTGAACATAATTTGCCAATTTCCCTTGTACACCAACATTCTCTAGTTTTTGGAGGAGTCCATCAGGCCATACCATGTCAAAGGCTTTGCTGAAGTCTAAAAAGACAGCAGCTAGGTACTGTTTCTTGACCTGGGCTAATCTGATATCATTTTCCATTCGGAAAATGTGGTTAAGACATGAGCGGTTTGATCTGTAACCGCTCTGGTCATGAGATAAGAGTGTGTTTGTCTCAAGGTGGTGCTTTAAGCGTATGTTCACCATTGCCTCCATACTCTTGCACAGATTTGATGTGAGGGGTATTGGGCGATATGAGTTGGCCGATGCCTCCTCCTTGCCTGGTTTGAGCCTGGTTTCCATGCTGCAGGTACCTCCCCCTGATCCCATATCAAATTGTACAATTGTACGATGACGCTGGCGATGCTGTCTGGCAACCTTTTGAGCATCTCATAGCTGACCATGTCCTCCCCTGGACAAGTACCCTTTTTGTTGTGTATAGCAGTTCTGAACTCCTCCACACTGAAACCATGGTTGTATGCGTGCTGATCGCACGGGGGCTGTTTGGGCTGTGGTAGCAATTTTTCTGTCTTTGTAAACTCTTCAGAAAAATTGTTGTTGCTACTGACAGAGGCAAAGTGGGTGGCTAAGATACTTGCTTTATCCGTGACTTTGGTAGCCCCCGTTAGTTTGGGAATGCAAGCGGACTTGCGTTTCCCCCGGATAGCATGTTTCTTTTGCCAGACTGCTTTACTGTTTGTTTTGTGGTTGAGGGAACCACAGAACTCTTGCCATGAGTCAGACCTGGACTGATCGATGAGATCTTTCACTTGTTTCCTAGCTACACGAACTTCTCCTATGACAGCCTTGTCTCGTTTTAACCTATTTAATGCCTTTTTCCTAATGCGTCGAGCTTTGGCTATTCCCTCGTTCCACCATGGGATGGCTCGGGCGCCGACCTTTGCTTTGGTGAGTGGGATTGAGGCCAGTGCTGCCTTGTATATGGCCGACGTTAGGTTTAGGCAAAAGGTATCAACGTCGTCAGAGACGACTTCAGTCGGTTCGATTTTATTGCATTCCATTCTGAATTTTGACCAGCCTGCTTTGGAGAAGTTCCACCGCTCTCTAGGGTTTGAGATTTCATCGCATAGAGGTGGGATACCGAGAAAAGTGAAGCACGGAGAGTGTTCACTTCCCCAACTGTCATGATGAACCTGCCACTGGCAATCACGGGCTAGGTTTTTGGTGGCAATAGCAAGATCTATGCTGGTCCAAACTCCTCGGGTAGGACAATGTCTTGTAGGAGAGCCATCATTCAGTATAACGAGTCCCTGTGACTCTAACCAATCCTCCACTTATTTGTAGCTTAAATGTTTATTTCAAGCTGAGTATGTTTATCTGCTGTTGGTGGGATCGGCAGATAGGAAGCAGATTGATCTCTTTGCTATGCCATGGACTGGATGCTGGTAGCCAACTCTGCTTTGAGTCATGGTGAGTTTTGTCCCTTCATCACTGTCCTTATGTGTGTCTAGTTTGAATCTCCCAGGCGCATTCATGAATTCAACCAGCTGTTGTCTGGGGCTATGAGTCTGGTTGTGGGCATTTGTAGCTCATGACAGTTGTGTCCTTATTATTTGTAGTTTAAATGTTTATTTCAGCATGCCTGTTTGTCTGTTCCTGATTTTGTATGGTGGTTTCATCATTGCCTTATGTGGTGTTTGCCACCTTCTTTGGACCCTTTTTGCCCCTTTTCCTCTCTTGCCTTTACGCCTCTTTGGTTTGGCGCCACTGCCCATATGGTTGCCTGCGAGTCTTTTTTTGCCCGTGTCTCAGCATTGACCTTGCCCTTGGTCGCCACCTGTTTATCGCCCTGAACAGTTTGAGGCCAAGAGTCTCCGTGTTTAGACTCTGTTTTTTAAGCTGCCTGCTCCTGCAGAAGTTGGATAAGGACGAGTGTCCCTTAACTTTGCTGTTTGTGCAATAGAGTGAACAGTTGCCCTTGCAGTTTTTGGCTGGTTTAGAGCAAGTTCAGCATTTTACCTCGCTGAGGCAGTTTGCCTTAACATGCCCGTAATTTAAACAGTTGACTCACTGTTTTGGTCGCCTGAGGTAGGGAAGTGTCGCTACTACTTCGCCTGCCACTTTGATGGTCTCTGGGACTGTGGTTCCCAATATTGTGAGTATTACTACTCTGGTATTCCTGCCTTGGCTTTTAATCCTATACATGTCAGTTATAGTAGGATCGTGTTGCTGCTGGGTTTGTCACTGATACCCTTATCAAGATGCACCGCGCATCTCGTGTGTGAGACCCAGCCTGGCACTTTCCAAACTATAACCTGGTCAAGGACTTTTGTGGGGAGCTTGGCGCAATGATTTATGTTGTCACCTCTGACTACATATCCCCGATTTGCTTTGTGAATTTTTGTCACAGAGATTGACTTAGCTAGTTCCTCCCGTAAAGCTTGGGCCGAGACCCTGCTGGAGAGGGTGAGGTTGTAGTCTGTGCAGTAGACTAGCCTCTCCCACCCCTGCTGCTTTGTTTGGGGGGCAGCCTTAGTTGTAGCTTTGGCTTGTTTAAGAAGTCCAATGACAAAGCTAATGTTCCTGGTCCAAAGCTTTTGAACTAGTACCAGGTCTGACTGGCTGATTTCCTGTTTTGTCTTACCGGGACCGTTCTCAGGCACTTTCATTTCTGAGCTTTCTCTACTGGGGCTGGGCATTCCCCTTACGATATTTTGAGGGCTAGGCACTCCCTCTTCGGATTCAGAGTCCATTTCTATGTTTATATAGGGGTCATCAGTCCCATATCTGTGCCAACCCTACCAGCGGTTGGTGTGGAGGTAGACATGGCTACTTCCTTGCATGTTGTCACGGCTACATTTCTTGACACGGCTATTCCATTTTTCAAGCACTGGGGACCAGGCACGGCTGTTCCCCTTACTTTCTCAATGCAGGGGGCAGTCACGGCAGCTCCTTTCCTCTCTCTAGCTGGGGTGTAGACACAGCTACACCCTTGCTTTCCCCTGGGGGATCGGACACGGCCTTTCCCCCTTGCTTTCCGTTGGGAGTGGGCACGGCCACTCCCCCTTTCACTAATTGGTTGGTGGTTGCGGCAACCACCTTTCTCTCTCCTTGGGGGATGGTCACAGCCGCTTCCCTATTCTCACCTTTGGGAGCGGGCACGGCCACTCCCCCTTTCACTCCATGCAACCACCTTTCTCTCTCCTTGGGGGGTGGTCACGGCCTCTCTCCCCTACTCTCTCTCCGGGGAGTGGGCACGGCCACTCCCCCTTCACTCCTTGGTTGGTGGTTGCGGCAACCACCTTTCTCTCTCCCTTGGGGGTGGTCACGGCCACTCCCCTACTCTCTCTCCGGGGAGTGGGCACGGCCACTCCCCCTTTCACTCCTTGGTTGGTGGTTGCGGCAACCACCTTTCTCTCTCCTTGGGGGGTGGTCACGGCCACTCCCCTACTCTCTCTCTTTGGGGAGTGGGCACGGCCGCTCCCCCTTTCACTCCTTGGTTGGTGGTTGCGGCAACCACCTTTCTCTCTCCTTGGGGGGTGGTCACGCCACTCCCTTGCGGCAGCCACCTCTCTCCTTGGGGGGTGGTCCGCGGCCACTCCCTACTCCCCTTTCCCTTTCCTCCTTGGTTGGTGGTTGCGGCAACCACCTTTCTCTCTCCTTGGGGGGTGGTCACGGCCACTCCCCTACTCTCTCTCCGGGGAGTGGGCACGGCCACTCCCCCTTTCACTCCTTGGTTGGTGGTTGCGGCAACCACCTTTCTCTCCTTGGGGGTGGTCACGGCCCCTCCCCTACTCTCTCTCTTGGGGAGTGGGAGCGGCCGCTCCCCTTTCCTCCTTGGTTGGTGGTTGCGGCAGCCACCTTTCTCTCTCTTGGGGGGTGGTCGGGGGTGGTCACGGGGGTGGGCGGCCACTCCCCTTCTCTCTCTTGGTTGGTGGGCGGCCACTCCCCTTTCTCTCCTTGGTTGGTGGTTGCGGCAACCACCTTTCTCTCTCCTTGGGGGTGGTCACGGCCACTCCCCTACTCTCTCTCTGGGGGTGGGCACGGCCGCTCCCCCTTTCACTCCTTGGTTGGTGGTTGCGGCAACCACCTTTCTCTCTCCTTGGGGGGTGGTCACGGCCACTCCCCTACTCTCTCTCCGGGGAGTGGCACGGCCGCTCCCCCTTTCACTCCTTGGTTGGTGGTTGCGGCAGCCACCTCTCTCTTCTCTCTCCTTGGGGGTGGTCCACGGCCACTCCCCTACTCTCTACTCTCTCTCGGGGGAGTGGGCGGCCGCTCCCCTTTCCTCCTTGGTTGGTGGTTGCGGCAGCCACCTTTCTCTCTCCTTGGGGGTGGTCACGGCCCTCCCCTCTCTCTCTGGGGGAGTGGGCGGGGGTGGGCACGGCCCCCCTTTCCTCCTTGGTTGGTGGTTGCGGCAACCACCTTTCTCTCTCCTTGGGGGGTGGTCACGGCCACTCCCCTACTCTCTCTCCGGGGAGTGGGCACGGCCGCTCCCCCTTTCACTCCTTGGTTGGTGGTTGCGGCAACCACCTTTCTCTCTCCTTGGGGGGGGGTGGTCGCGGCCACTCCCTACTCTCTCTCCGGGGAGTGGGCACGGCCCTCCCCCTTTCACTCCTTGGTTGGTGGTTGCGGCAACCACCTTTCTCTCTCCTTGGGGGGTGGTCACGGCCACTCCCCTACTCTCTCTCCGGGGAGTGGGCACGGCCGCTCCCCCTTTCACTCCTTGGTTGGTGGTTGCGGCAACCACCTTTCTCTCTCCTTGGGGGGTGGTCACGGCCTCTCCCTACTCTCTCTCGGGGGGTGGGCACGGCCACTCCCCTTTCCTCCTTGGTTGGCAGCCACCTTTGCGGCAACCACCCCCCTCTCTCTCTCTGGGGGTGGGTGGTCACGGCCTCCCCTACTCTCTCTCGGGGGGTGGGCGCGGCGCCTCCCCCCTTTCCTCCTTGGTTGGTGGGTTGCGGCAGCCACCTTTCTCTCTCCTTGGGGGGTGGTCACGGCCACTCCCCCTCTCTCTCGGGGAGTGGGCGCGGCCGGCTCCCCTTTCCTCCTTGGTTGGTGGTTGCGGCAGCCACCTTTCTCTCTCCTTGGGGGGTGGTCACGGCCACTCCCCTACTCCCCTACTCTCTCTCTTCGGGGAGTGGGCTGCGGCCGCTCCCCTTTCCTCCTTGGTTGGTGGTTGCGGCAGCCACCTTTCTCTCTCCTTGGGGGGTGGTCACGGCGGCTCCCCTACTCTCTCTCGGGGGAGTGGGCGGCGCCTCCCCCTTTCCTCCTTGGTTGGTGGTTTGGCAACCACCTTTCTCTCTCCTTGGGTGGTGGTCACGGCCACTCCCCTCTCTCCCGTGGTTGCGGGGGAGTGGCCATGGGGGCTCCCCTCCTCTCCTTGGTTGGTGGTTGCGGCAACCTCCTTTCTCTCCTTGGGGGGTGGTCACGGCCACTCCCCTACTCTCTCCCGTTGGGGAGTGGACATGGCCACGGCTACTCCCCCTACTTCACATTCCTGCTTTCTGTGTACCTGCGGCAACCACCTTTCTCTAACTTGAAGGTGTCAGAGAAGCCAGTGATACTCCGCCATGAGTGGCTGGGAACAGTTCCCCGTGAGTAGAACCCACAGTGTCTTGAGTCTTGCTTGGCTGCTTCCCTCTAAGCTCCTTCCCCTTCGCAGCCAGGCTGCAGATGACTGATGGACAAATGCAGTTAGACTTTTTATCTAAAATTGAAACAATAAAAACATTATGATTCATTGAATGATACAAAATGGGTGTTCCCTATACTAACCAATGAAATACAGAATATGCGGTATTGGGTGTGTCCTACAAATGAAATGACCAGACAGGGAGAGTACTTAATCCTGCTAATCCTATTTCACCTGGCACTAATTGTGCTGACATGTTGCTTGGATGGTTATGGTGTTATAATAGATGGCTTAATGACCCTAATTTGAAGTGTTTGCACAATATATGTTAATGGAGGTGATGACATGTTTACTTTATCAAAGCAGTTCATTAAATCATATAGACATTACTTTGTCTTACTGAAAGGTTGGAGTCCTTGAAACCTTAGGCTAGGATTTATCTTGAACATCTGTGAAATTGTGCAGCCGTAACTTATACCTTTTTCAATAGTATGTCTGTGAGATGAGTTTTATTTCTTTTGACCTGAGTCTTTCTCTAAGCTATTACTGATACCTGATGAAACTAATATTCTATATTTATATTTTCCTAATATCTGAATCCTAATATATCACTTGTAGTGGTGGTTATAATTAATAATGAATTTCCGTATGAATTATTATTCCATGATACTACTTCCAGATCAGAAAAGTATTTCAGCCATACGCAGATACATCACAGAAGACTGTTGTAAGACTCTAGTACATGCTTTAGTAACATCTAGACTGGATTATGGAAATGGTCTTCTCTGTGGACAACCTGAAAGTCTCACCAGTCGTTTACAGAAGGTGCAGAACTGTGCGGCTAGACTCATTACCAAGACTGGCCGACATGAGGAGATGACGCCTGTGAGAGAGAAGCTGCACTGGCTCCCAGTCAGACAGAGATGCCAGTATAAGATCCTGATGTATGCCTGTAAATGTCTCCACGGTTTGGCCCCATACTATCTTCAGGAACGTGTTGTGCCATATCATCCAGCCATCACTCAGATCAGAATCTGAATCCCGTCTCTGTCAACCAAAGACAGTAACGTATGGCCACAGATGTTTTGACAGCATTTCAGCTAATCTTTGGAACAGTCTACCAGTTAGCCTACGAAATTCATCCTCACTGAACATTTTTAAGAAAGCTCTTAAAATTCTTCTTTTTAAAGCTGCTTATTCCACAAAATGTATCATTGGTTTTATCACTGTGTACAATTTTACTCCTTGTATGTGTTTTACCATGCTTTTAATATTTTATCTTTTAGCATCACTTGTATACCACCTGTATATCACCATACAGTATTGTATATGTCAAGAGCCTTAGAGTGTTTTTAAATAAGCAAATAAGGCGCTATAGAAATCTTGTGTATTATTTTTATTATTATTATTTATTAAAATGAAACAATACTAGAATATATTTCTCTTTATAAAATAAGTTTCAGATACTATATTTTCCTGATCACTGCATCAGAATTCGTCTTGTTATATTATCAGGTACGTTTTAACTAAATCACCGGTTTGCTATTTCCAGCACTTTATATGAGACAAATACACACGGTAATCTTAATCCCTGCATATAACTCAATCTTGCTGTTATCTTTACACTTGTGTCTGTACCTTGACTTCTGTTGTCCTTGGATATGTACCTATACGTTTCACTCGGATGTTGTTTTATCTTCTGGCCTTTTTCCTTGTATCTTGACTTATGGATCTCAATTCTGAGTAAGAATATAGTCTCTTGACCTGAAACATGTGTTGGAATAAATAACTTGCAGATAACATGGTGACAATACTGACCAAACCTATTGTGGAAAGGTTTGGATGGTAGTACTGGTGACAATACTGACCAAACCTATTGTGGAAAGGTTTGGATGGCAGTACCAAAGGTAAAAACCTGAAAAATACAAAGCCCAAATTTAGTCCCAATGGACCTGAATATGGTAAGTACCACAATCCATAGCACTAAGTCATATAGTCTAGGTATGCCTAAATATGATATCCAAAACTGTCACAATGATAACCTAAACTGAATGTGCAACTACAAAATACATTGGCAATAATGTATATGTCCTGAAATATCACTTAAAGTCCACACAGTACTTAAAGCAAGTATTTTCCTGAATATTCTGCCATAATCATAAAGATTAATACAATGTCCTAAAATTACACAATTTACCAAATATTGACAATGAAATAGACACTAAAATAGGCTACACAAGCTACACAAATGTCATTATAGATTAACAGTTGAAGGGAAGCAACTCTGTATGGCTTATACTGCATGTAAACTGTATATTTCATGAGCAAGTCACTTGAGCGACTTGAACATGAAAGCTTGGCAAATTTACACCTAAATGACTTACACATTTAAGAGTGCTAACTGTGTCTCTGTAACAAGTACAAAACAAGTGTGTAACAAATACAAGTGTGAAACAAGTACAAAATATACAAATAGTAAAATTTCTGGAAAAGCAATCTATTTTAATATGTCTTGTCTTATGGTCCTGTTTGGAATCAGTTCATAACACCTTAAACAATAATACAATTGTCAGTGAAAAGGTTTACATTTTCACAAGTCCATGATTTATTTATAGTCACCACTGGGTCAAGGGTTGAAAGTAGTTCCTATGCAAATTAGCCAAGTCTTAATGAGGTCAGGTCTGCTGTCTTGTCCTTGGTTTTTATTGGCTGAAGATGTGCAGCATCTTGATTGGATGTTGAATTTAGTTGCATTTGGAAAGTGTGAAGTTTGTTCACTTGCTGTCTTTCTCCCAACCTGGCAAGGTGGTTTGAAAGTCATGGATGGAGGATTGTGACTTTGGTGAATTACAGGTTAGTTACACTTGGTTTTATTTAAAAGGAATAAACTACAAAAATATGTTAAATTGTTGAAAGGTTAATTCAGTATTTATTGTAACTGAATTTATGCATTTGGTGGAGGTATATTTTGACCTATGGTTAGAAATTGTTGGTGTCAATAATTTCACTTACAATATACATATACATTGTTTCAGACTTGTATTATTTATACAAACTACCGTAATAAATCCGGACCACAGCCTCAACGGAGTTGTGTCATTGAGTCAGAGCCATCCCCGTTACATTTCTACGATACCTAAATCATAAAGGACTTAAAATATCACAAGCTGTCATAGAAGTCTAAGGCAATATATGCCATAAAGTGCTGTACGTGAATTATGCCTGATCGAAAGCTGAACAGCGCTACTTCTTAGATTACAATAACAAACTTATAATCGCTTAACATGCCTCAACTGATACTTATGCATCTAGATTTACATGAAATACAAAATAACAGACTTAATACACACTCGCTCGTTGCTTTGTATGTCCTATTTTTCCTAAAAATTGAAGTTTTCAAAGACTGTAAACGCCATTCGGCCATGCCGCCTAAAACCTAAAAACTGGTCCAAACCGGATAATAGTGCTAGACTGGTACTTTGTATAGATTGCACAAGAAATGAAGTACCAGACTTGTTTTAGTCTATAGATTGCTTAAGAAATAAAGCAGTGTTAACTGGAGTCTTAACCGGAATGCAATTCCTGGATCAAACCTTATCAATTAAGATGATTGCTCAAGAAATAAAGCGCTGTTTGGCACATGAAACAGAACAAAGCCTGTTAACGAATAAACGCCACACTCAGCAGTATTACAGCTATGTGTATATACCAGTACTTGAGCCCGATTTATACCAGTACTTGAGCCCGATTTATACCAGTACTTGAGCCCGATTTATACCAGTACTTGAGCCCGATTTATACCAGTACTTGAGCCCGATTTACACCAGCACTTGAGCCCGATTTACACCAGTACTTGAGCCTGATTTATACCAGTACTTGAGCCTGAGTTATACCAGTACTTGAGCCTGAGTTATACCAGTACTTGAGCCCGATTTATACCAGTACTTGAGCCAGAGTTATACCAGCACTTGAGCCCGATTTATACCAGCACTTGAGCCAGATTTACACCAGCACTTGAGCCAGATTTACACCAGTACTTGAGCCCGATTTATACCAGTACTTGAGCCCGATTTATACCAGTACTTGAGCCCGATTTATACCAGTACTTGAGCCAGATTTATACCAGTACTTGAGCCAGATCTATACTACTTGAGCCAGATTTATACCAGTACTTGAACCAGATTTATACCAGTACTTGAGCCCGATTTACACCAGTACTTGAGCCAGATATACACCAGTAATTGAGCCTTAGCCATACCAGTACTTGAGCCAGATTTATACCAGTACTTGAGCCTGAGCTATACCAGTACTTGAGCCAGATTTATACCAGTACTTGAGCCAGATCTATACCAGTACTTGAGCCAGATTTATACCAGAGCCAGATTTATACCAGTACTTGAGCCAGATTTATACCAGTACTTGAGCCAGATCTATACTACTTGAGCCAGATTTATACCAGTACTTGAGCCAGATTTATACCAGTACTTGAGCCAGATTTATACCAGTACTTGAGCCTGATTTATACCAGTACCAGTATTTTGAGATTTATACCAGTACTTGAGCCCAGATATTATACCAGTACTTGAGTTATACCCAGTACTTGAGATTTATACCCTTGAGCCTGATTTATACCAGTACTTGAGCCTGAGTTATACCAGTACTTGAGCCTGAGAGTACTTTTATACCAGTACTTGAGCCTGATTTATACCAGTACTTGAGCCAGATTTATACCAGTACTTGAGCCAGATTTATACCAGTACTTGAGCCAGATTTATACCAGTACTTGAGCCCGATTTATACCAGTACTTGAGCCCGATTTATACCAGTACTTGAGCCCGATTTATACCAGTACTTGAGCCAGATTTATACCAGTACTTGAGCCAGATTTATACCAGTACTTGAGCCAGATCTATACTACTTGAGCCAGATTTATACCAGTACTTGAGCAAGATTTATACCAGTACTTGAGCCCGATTTATACCAGTACTTGAGCCCGAGTTATACCAGTACTTGAGCCCGAGTTATACCAGTACTTGAGCCCGATTTATACCAGTACTTGAGCCAGATTTATACCAGTACTTGAGCCCGATTTATACCAGTACTTGAGCCCGAGTTATACCAGTACTTGAGCCCGATTTATACCAGTACTTGAGCCCAGTACTTGAGCCTGATTAATACCAGTACATGAGCCTGATTTAATGAGCACCAATACACACCATCACACAGGGAAATGCTGTTAACCTCGTCACTGAATCTGAACACATAATTCACTTACTCAGTTCTCACAACCAGCGCAGGTTGCTAGGAACCTGTTATGTCCAAGAATACCCATCAGTTCTCACAACCAGCGCAGGTTGCTAGGAACCTGTTATGTCCAAGAATACCCATCAGTTCTGAATTAAAGCATCAAACTTCACATTATTAACTATCACATAGTGATGACCATCTGACTGAGATAATATGCATGTATAGTGCATAAATACAGCGCCCTTCACAAACACAAGGAAAATTCCATTCTTCAATCAAAAAATGCAGGAAGATATGGTACAAGTCAAGGTAGTGAATGGCATCACTAATCAGTTTTGTCAGTGATGAGTTACATGTGTAATGAGCTTGACAAGATAAGACCAAATACACTTAACAAGGAGGAAATCAACATTATGGTTTTACTGTCCCAAAATGAAAAACTGTGGTACATATAGTATTCCCAGAAATTATTGAGAAGATATTTCCGGCAAATATCTAATACATGTATAATCTATCTAATACACTATAGAAGTTTTATTTAAATGAATATGTTGAGATATGATTCTCTTACAGTCTAAGTGTCTTTTCAGTACTTTGTGAGACCTCCTTGCCCTGCAATACACGACTGAATGCACCCAGGTACACTACCGATCATAGGTTGTAGGAAATCGTGTGACAGCGTATCCCAATATTCGACCACTTCAATCTTCATATCCTCCATATTTCTAAGTCCATTTGGGTTTATTCTGTGCTTCATCAACATATTGGTCCTTCTTGTAGAAATACACAATGCCGTCACTCCACGTGATGATCTCCCACACCGTTCACTTCTTGTATATCTCCAGTAGAAATACACAACACCATCACATCCTCCCCACGTGATGATCTCCCCATCAACATATTGTTCCTTCTTGTACATCTCCAGTAGAATTACACAACGCCGATGACTCCCACACCGCCGCCACTGATGATCTCCCGCCGTCACTGATGATCTCCCACACACACGCCGCGTCACTCCACGTGATGATCTCCCACACACACCGCCACTCCATGTGATGATCTCCCACACACGCCGCCACTCCATGCGTGATGATCTCCCACACACCGCCGTCACTCCACGTGATGATCTCCCACACACCGCCGTCACTCCACGTGATGATCTCCCACACACGCCGTCACTCCACGTGATGATCTCCCATCAACATATTGTTCCTCCTGTATATGATGATCTCCCCCACACCGCCCGCCACTCCACGTGATGATCTCCCCCCGCCACGCCACTCCACGATGATCTCCTGCCACTCCCACGGATGACCTCACATACACACCGCCGCCACTCCACGCGATGATCTCCCACACACCGCCGCCACTCCACGTGATGATCTCCCACACACCGCCCATCACCCACGTGATGATCTCCCACACACGCCGCCACTCCACGTGATGATCTCCCCACAACGCCATCACTCCACGTGATGATCTCCCATCAACATACACCGTCCTCCAGTAGAAATATATCGCCCACT